TCACTGCATTACATTTGCTTTTGATACTGAGCTTTCTGCACATGCAAAAGTAATGTGGTGTCAGATTCATAAAGCACTGTTCAAGTAAATAAAGTAACATTCAAGATAAAGTCGTTATAATCTGCTATGGAGCCGTCTCCATCAACTCTGTTATATCAACTCTATTGACAACTACAGTCTCTTTCTGCAAAGTCAGGATGTTTAGACTCCTGTCTACAACAGATAAAACACTGACAAGTGGTAACTCCTGCACAGAATCCCACTTAAAAAAAAAGAAACACCCTAAAAGTCTAAAATCTCCAGTCGTGGATTAGCTGCAGGGAAGACAGTAAGTTCTAATAGAACCTCACTTCACAAACTCTGAGCTGTTCCTTCAATATGTGAAGAAAAACTAGGACTAAAAACTAGGCACATTTATGTACATTGTACAAGTATAAAAGTAAAGAAAATTGCCTTTAAAGTCCAGGATTTTAAAATGTTTATTTGCATCAAGTTTTATGGGGATGCAATTAAAAATTGACCAAAGGGATGTTCTTTCATTTTACAATTACTGTTTGACTGATTTTAAGGATTCCAAGAAGCAAAAAAAACACATGAGCTTAAATATGAAAACATTAAACTAGGAACATATTGTGATAGGAATTTGAAGTCAAGAGTATAGTATTTATTAATTTATTTTATTTATTTATTTTTTGCATAAATGTCCATGTGAAAGTTCCTTTTCATTATTTTTAACAGAATATGTTGGATTTTGGTCCTTTTGCAGATAATTTTGAACATGGCACTGTAGAATTAATGTAAAAACTCTAATATATGTTTAAACGGGACTACTAATTATGTTAAAAACGCCCAAAACAAAACAAAGCAATAAATAAAGCATTAGCTAATTGGCAAACTCATTGTAGCTAAACCAGCTGGGAGTATGACTTTTATAGAAACTTAGTAATAAAGTTTTGGAAAATTAAAACGCAAAGAGAGAAAATATCTTAGCTATTCATATAAAAGTAGACAGTTTGCTGAAGTAAAACAGCATAAGTGAAGAAAAAAAACAATTGTTGCATTAAAAGCTCACGATGATCGCTCAAAAGTTCAAACACATTTCTGAAAAAAAAGAAAAATCTGATCTGTGCTTCAACCTCTGAAAAACAAATACAACAGAATGTGGGTGGCTTCTAAACCACTGTTCATGTTTGGGTTTTTTGTTCGAAAGCACAACACTTGACTCCCAAAATGCAGACATGTGGGTGTACGGGAATAACGCCTGGGTATCGACAAACCCAAAGATAATTTTGTTGTCGCTCGGCTGCTCTGTGAAAAACATCCTCGGTTCTTCTATCCTTTGTACACAAGTCTGTGTGTGAAAGTCAGAGCATCTCAGATAAATTTTCCCTTCCTGAAGAGACACCTTTGTTTGCACCTTTCCAGTTAATTAGACACTGCTGATAGCTGTCTGTGCCGGGCTGAAGGCTCGGTTCACCGCAGGTGCTTTCTGTCAGTCGCGACATGGCAAAACATCAGTGAAGCTCTCCCACCGGTCTAGCTGGGAACAACCCGAGTGCACAGTGAGGGCGCAACCAAACGGCGGTCATGTCGCCTCTGCTGCTGTGCCAGCCTTGGCTGGGCCCATCAAGTGTGGGACACACATTAAATATTAACTTAATTGGTCCCCGCTGAGCCCTGCTAACATATGGCAAGCATCAGACGGAAATGTCACCATTTCCCCAGAGCTCCCGTACATTTAGGATCAAAGACAATACCATTGGTTCTAATCTGCTGTAATAGTGAGATAAGAGTGAGGCAGGCTTAAGTGTGGGATGCATGTGTCTGTGTGTGTGTGTGTCTGTCATCCTCCCTGATGGAGGCTTGTCAGAGCAGACTGACAGCCAGCGATGGAGGGAATAGCTCAGGCTTCTTTTTAGTCTCTGCAGTTTTCTTGCTTCAGAACAGCTTTTTTTCCCCCCACTGAACTCCCTTTAGAAGTACAGCTTGCTTAATTCTTGGAAACCTGCCTGAAAAACAAGGTGCTGTATTGCTGTCAGAACATTCACATTTAGTGAAGGTGTACTACAGACTAGTACATCCACAGCTACTCCTCTGTGCCACCTACTGTGGCATGGTACACTTAACTCTAATGGCAGCCCGAGTGAGGGACTAATCATAAAAGGTGCATTTTAAAGATAGTGATTAGTGATTAGGCCTGACCTCTCCAGGGAAGTTTAATCTCCACTCAAAGTGGTGAATGTACTTGCCAAATGAGCTGCTCCCTTTGTAATAGCACCAAGAGCAGCGTGGAGTCGAGATTACTAAACAGTGAGGGCCGCGTTTTAAATCACTCACTAAAAACTACAAAGCCCCGGAGACGCCGTGGCTTACCACAGAACCAGGTTGTGTGAGAGGCAGGCAGCTAATGCACTCAAGGGCGTCGGGGGAGACGCGGAATGTGGCGAGCGCGAGTGCTGAAGTCAACAAGCTCAGATGTCCTTTTCCTGGCTGAGAGAGGCAGAACGAGAGCTAACTAGAGGAAAGGGCGGCGAGAAAGAGGGTTTTTGTTGGCCTCTGAAAGCCTTCCTGCATCCAGTGCTGAACACACAAGGTCACTGCAGCAGTAATGCTCGACCAAACTGCCACCAGGTTAACTTATGATCTGACTGCCAGCGAGCGTATGGCTTGACATCCATCAAAGAAATAGTTTTTCTTTTTTTTCTTAAATGTGCCAAATTTTTCAAACATTGCATTAGAAGAACTGGAAAGGCTTTAAATTCATTTAAAAGCTATGTGGAAACAAGTAAAGAAAGTGAAATATGACGCATTGCAAGGATGCACTTCTTCCACGTTTTGTTACATTGCAGCTACGCTGTTTCTGGTGCATTTTATTGGAACTTTTAGTGGTAAAACATCACAAAATAGTACAGAACGGGGAAGTTTAAGAGATAGGTGGTTTTCTAAAGTGTCTACAGATTAGCAGGTCAAACTTTATTTATGTAGCACCTTTTAATACATAAAATTATAGAATTTCACAAGAACCAACATTGCATAAAAAACAAGACAAATTAATAATTTGGAAAAATAGGTTTTCAACTGGCTTTTAAGAGGAAAACAAACTGAGGGGCCACTCAACAGAACATCTTGTCTTCATTTGTTTATAGCTCAATAAGAGGAACCATCAGCAGGCCCTGGTCACCAGACCTCGGGGGTGTGTCAGGGTCATATGGGGTCAGCAGCCATATGATATAACCTAGTGCTTGTCCACAAAGAGCTCCAAGTCGATAAGAGAATCCCAAATTACACTCTATGCATATAATTATTTTATCAATATGAAGAGTCAAATGTGAAAATTATATACCACCTGCATCAGTCCTCTTCACTCTGATGCCCTCAAATGAAACACAAAGTTCACAAATTGGTCAGGTCAATGACCCTGAACATACGGCCTCCATCGCAGTGGGATTCTTCAGAACGAAGCAAATTCCCAAAATGTGAATGGAAAAATGGAGAATCTGTTGGAGAACATGTTGTTCACAGATGCTCTCCATCCAATCAGACGATGAACTTCCATCTTTCATGCAACTGTAACACCGAACCAAGTGATTGTCATGGCAGCAGATGCTCTAATCTGACAAAAACACTCCCGCAAATACTGAAAGTCACCGAGTACGAGGAGAACAGATTAGAAACAGGAGAAAATAGGCATACATTGCATTTGGTATCGCCTTTGCAATATTTGGCATCATTATCATCATCACAAGAACTTCTAATACCATGCACCCCTATTGAGCCTGACTGCTTAGCAAAGAATAGGCTAACGTCTTCGAGCCCAGATGTACGGAGCCTGTAGACACAAACCGCAAAGGTCTTGAAGCTGTAATGTCTGCAAAGTCAGTTCTACAAAGTATTAAGCCAGCGTGGGTGAAAATAAACCTTTTCACCTTTCTATTTGGTAAAAAAAACAAAAACAAAGAATGAATCACTATAATTCATTAGTTTGTGTTAACTTTTCTTTGATAAAATCCCACTAAAATACATTAAAGTGTGTAGTTGTAAGGTGACAAAATGAGCATGAACACTTTCGCTGCTGTACATCAGCCGAGGCATTTGCAGCTCTCACCATATCATCATCTTCCTGACTTGTGTGCTAATTTCAGCGTGAACTCTGAGTGACTTCCACTGTTTATGTCCTGCAGGCATCGTGATGGCGTTGCACCTTTACATGCACGGGTCAGCCATTACGGAGCAGCCGAAGTGGGTTCTAGTGGAGGAGCCACTTGTGGCTGTGGGTGGTGACAGCGGAGGGGAGGAACAGCTTTTGAGAGTGACTGAGAGGTGTGGAGAGAGACTAAAGGGAGCGCTGGGGGTTGGTGGGAAAAGATTGGGACAGACTCTCCTTTTAATTTACTAATTAACCATGCAAATGAAATCTTAACAGGCTACTCAGAGGCAGCCCTCCAGGGAGGGAGCAAGGCATTAGCGCTTGATTATACTCTGTCCATGTGGAGAGAGGAAATGGGAAGTAAAATATGTCAGTGTTGGGAAAACTTATTGGCTCTCAGCAAATGGGCAGAGTTGAGGACATCCTTGAGAGGATCCAAAATAACAAACATCCAAACAAAACATAAATCAACACTGATAATCACGCCACATGAACAGCATTTCTAATTTGATCTCGGAACCACATAAATCTGTTGGCAATCGTGGCAAAACACACTGTTTAAGAAGTAAATAAATTCTCACAGTGAAAGCGGCTGAATAAATCAACGTTTCATTTTAGTACATTTATTCAGTTGGGAGAAAAGAAAAAAAAAAAAAAAGTTTTTTAGCCAAGTCACCTGCGGCACGATTGTCGGTAGTCCACATAATTTCTTGAACACAAACGTACCTGAAGGTGGTTTTTAAATTCCACTTTGCGCTCGGTTTTTCAGAGTATCCACAGACGAATGTTATTACAGGATGTGCTCAAATTAAACGAGTAAACACTCGCTGAAGGCGAGCGAGCGGCGGCTTACCTTGAAGACGTCCTGCGTGTCGTCCATGCAGTACACCCTGATGTTGTACTCCAGCGTGGAGCAGTATGCGTCGGAGAAGAGGACGAGCCGCAGGCGCTTGGCTGCGCCCATGTGCAGCGACTCTCCCACCAGGGTGAAAGTGCCCAGCTGCTCTGTGAACAGGCGGCACGTCTCGGCCTCAAGCTGGCAGTAATAAGGCTCGGACACCAGCTCCTCCCCCATCAGCAGGACGTCCTGGGGGACAGGAGACAAGAAAACAAGATGTGGACGGAAGGTCAAGCACCCAATTTATGTAGGAGGGAAGGGTAATGTGTTGCCTGATGTATGCGTAGGAGTGTGTTTGCAAAAGGCTCGTTAGCAAAGTGGCGCCGCAGAAAGGACCCAAACTGCATGGTTCCTGCGGTGTGACATCAAAGCAGAAGGTCTTTGGGGTAATGTTACATAAAGTTCTAGGCAACAGTTCGGATCAGAGGGAAAAGCGAATACTTTGTTCTCGCTTCAGATTTCCTTCTCACCACAAAGCCCTTACAACACGCCGACATGATGCCATGTTCTATAGAATACCATCAGTTTACTCAATAATGCATGAACGAGATCTTCCATTGACATGAAAGAAGACCCAAACGGATTCCTGGTGAGAACAGATGGTTCTGGAGGAGGAAAAGGTCGCAGAGGTACGGCGATTACTGGGAGTTTGGGAATTTTCTTCCATTTGTTTGGAGGGTCGATAAGAAAGCTAAAAACAACTTGCTAAATTATCTGTAAAACAAACATAGATGATTTCTGATAGCTGGCGTGATAAAAATTATGCATCTTAAATGCACTGCGTTGGGGAAACAACATGGTGACAAGGCGACGCCTTGAATTTCCTGGCTTCCCTACAAAGGTGAAGTTCTGAGTCCTGGTGAGGATGGGAAACCTGTGAAAATATCCCGTTTCAGCCGCAGCTCTGCGCAGCTTTTATGAGATAATTCCAATGCTCTCTCGGCTAATTTGATGGAGATGAACTGGGCCCAAGGTGACAACAATTTCTCTAAAATCACATCATGCCTGTTGACTGACTCTTCCCATTAGCCCACCACGCTAAAGAGAGAATTGAGTCTGCCAAACGCGCAGCGAGCCCCTCTAGCATCGATTCACAGAGACACCATCTACATCAATAGAATTAGTATCGACACGATTCATTTTCTATGCAACCACAATGGAGTCTTATTTCTTTATCGTCTTAATATTTCCTCGGTGAAACAGAAGCTCGGTTTTGCAGTGGAAAGGTTAATACCTCCATCTGTATGCTTTGTGTTTTCCACATCTCTCCTATTGCACTACATTTTTGTGATTTCTTTCCAATAGAGCTGCAGTACCTGCTCATTTGCATCCATCTGTTTCCTCTTTCTTTCTGCTCTCAGTTCCTGTCACACTCTTGTGCCTTCTTCCACTCTCATTCTCTCGTCCACCTGGCGCTTCTTTACCGTAGTGGCCAAACGCAGTCGGACTATATTTGGCCCATCTGATGATTAAAACTGCTGGTCTAACCTCAGCCTCAGACAGGCCAATCCATCCCGCAGACACCCCACCACTGCCACACGGAGGGTGGGGAGAGGCTGAATAATTTATGCACAATATCGAACATGAAAGAAGACCTAGTAACACTCCAAAGCCCACCAGCACCCTGTAAAATCTCTCTGGGTTGTTGAGATGGGTATACTGCCTCGAACCGGCGTTTGTTTTGTGTGAGGCTGTGTGCACACCAAAGGCTGTTCTCGGCTAGATTCAAGGGCAACGTTCAGATTTTATGGGTAGAAAAACAGGGAGAAAAGCCTGCAAATTGGAAGCAGCAGTCGACAACGGTCAAGGAGTACTCAGAAGAGCACTTTGAGGATGAGTAATTTGCTTACAGAATTTCTATTTTCACAATCATGTTGCCAAGCAAACCTTTAGCTGGAGCGAAGCAGCCGATGGACAGCATGCAGCAAGTATCCCCGCTGCCTTCACCTTTCTTTCTTTTGTCGGTTTAGAATTACAAACTTTCTTGCTTTTTTGGGAACATAAAACAGCATAAGGCGGTAACAAAAATGAGCATTATTCTGGTTAATCTAATTTTGAGTGCATTACGAAAAGCGCACGCATTTGCTTTCAGCTCCCTTTATTGGGATTCATATCTGTGTCATCAATCTCAGTGTGAATCCAGCTGCTCTGTGAAAACCTCAGAGGTTTGTTAGAGAACATAAGTGAGCAAACAGCATCATAAAGACCAAGAGACACATCAGACAGGTCAGGGAGAAAGATTAAAGCAGGGTTAGATTATAAAACAATGTAACACTCAGCTGTATTCAATCCATCATCTGAAAATGGAGAGAGTCTGGCACAGCTGTAAACCTACTAAGACACGACAATTCACCTACACTGACAGGCCAGGCAAGGACACAAATAATCAGATAAGCAGTCCAAATTGGTAACCTGGAGGAACAGTAGGGATCAACTCCACAGCTCACATCGGGAAATCTGTCGACACGATAAATGTTAGTATTGCACTAGACAAATCTGGCCTATAAGAAAGAGTTGTAAGGAAAAGAAATCAATGTATTATTTTTGCCACGAGCCATGGTGAACATGTGGAACTTGGAGCTGTGATTAAATGTGACAAAAGTAAACATACATGTGTGGAACACAATGATCCTTCTGAACACCCAGTTCCCCCAACATAGGGTGGCTGTATCATGCTGTGGGACAGGGAAGCTGCTCAGAGAACAGGGGAATGGGAGGAAGCGAAATGCAGAGCAATTCTGGAAGAAAACCTGGCAGGATGTGGCAGAGTTTCACCAGCTAACAAGACCGCAACTAAACAACCCAAACTACAAGCTATGGTTCAGGTCAAACCATCACGATGTGGATAATTAATTACCCAAGCCAGTGTTTTGCCCCCTATGCAAACTGAGGGAGCTTAAACAATTTTGGAAAGATTGCCCAAAAATCTCAGGGTAGATGTGCAGATTAAACAGAATTACTCCAAAACATGCAAAGCTTTACCTGTGGCAAAAGGTTGTTCTATAAATTATTATGAGAGGCTAAATAGAAACACTTTTCAGATTTTCATGTGTAAATACTTTGATGATCATGTAGGATTTTCTTTTCACTTCAGAATTGAGCAGTACGTTTTAGAATTCAGTCAGATAAAATCCAATAACATACATTTTGAGATTTGGTATGAAGACGACAACAAAAAACATGTAGGATGTATAGATATACATGATATATATACTTTTTCGAGGCCCTTTAATTTAAACTATGTGGAGGAGTAGAGAGGAGAAGCTGGGTGTGTTGCAGTGTGCATTCCAAGTCACGAGCAGGACAAGTTTGTACTTTTCACACAGAAACAATCAATAAGTTCAGTAATACTTCACAGTTGCACTGACTAGCGGCTTTGTCTTCCTACAAAAGGATTTGTGCTGGAGCTGCAGTAGACTCTCACCTCCCAAGCGCCCTCGTAGTTCTGCTTCTTGAGGCGGACGGCCCAGTTATCGAGACACGCATCAAAGGAGTGGTCCATGCTGAGGATAACCGGCCGGCTCAGGACCACCCCCGGAGGGCCGCAGCTCACAATGGGGCTCAGGAGGGTCTGGCAGCCGGCCAGCGGTAACCTACGGCAGGAGTGGGAAAGAGGTGAATGCATTAAGATGAAGTGGTTGCAATTATTTTGATATTAGGGAGAATTTACAGCTCTCTTTGAGGCAGGATATGATACTGTCACCTCTGCAAATTATCCAGCAGCTGTAACACGGAATAATTAAAGCCTGCTGGACTCAGAGACGAGCCGGGCCAACGCGTGAGGACTGAGGAACATTATAGCGCAATCTCGGCAGGCTGCAACGGCTCTGCTTCCAGAGGATGAGTGCGCCAAGCCAGATAGACGTTGCTTTCCAAACAATTCATTTAACTTAAACAGCGCACATCCTTGTAAAAGGCTGTTATTTATTTACATCCCTCCTCCACAGCACTGGCAGAGCCTCTTAAGCCGTTCCTAATGGAACAGTAGAGCATCAAAACAAACAGCCTAGTGGCATTCAGGGAAGACTGCCAGTTAGACAGCGCTAAAGAGACCCACCTTAAATCTTCCTTCCGCTGAACAGTGAGATAAATCTCATAGATCTTTCCTCTGGGGATGGCCTCGGGAGGAATGAGCAGGCTGATTCCTAATGCAAATAACAACAAAAGGGAGAGAAGTGGGGTGGAGAGAGGGAGGGGGGAGTGTGAGCAAGTGGGGGACAGGCTCATTTGTTCTGACTGAACGGTGCTTTTGTCATCTCACAAAGGGAGCCAGCCCACTCGACAAACTGTACGCATGAAAAAAATCAACAAAAAAACCTCCCCACAAAACGAAACAAAAATCCAAATCTATTCTGAAGGTCAGAGGCAGCCTCCTTCAGGTGCAGCGGATGCAAAATCTGTGCGCCGGCAGCCGTGGCGGCACACGTCCCCGATGTCAACAATTAGCTGAGACAAAAGCGCGCGCTGCAGCACGGTTTAAATGTCCTCCGTCTGTCACAAAGTAGATAATTGAGACCATGGAACAGACTACTTCAGGAAAATTGCACTTCCCCAGGAGAGTGTTAGAAAATGCACGTCGGAGAATACAGAGAGATATTGAAGCGGTATGAGTGGTGCGGCATTCATGTTGTGATTCTTCTGCTAAAATTACCCACTCTGAATGGCATTTAAAATGTGGGCCAAAACTTGAATGTGACACTATTTTAACAATCTCTCAGTTTTAAACCGGGTCTGATCTCCATGAGGCTGCGTCAGATTGAATCGGGCGAAGGTGCCTGAATGTTGGCGTCCGCGCCTGAATCTGTGAAGCTCGCGCTCGCTCTGAAGCTGTGATGAATGGCAGAATAACTCCTTTGAGTGAATGCATGCGAGTGTAAGATTTCTTTCCTTCTTGTGTCCCTATGAGAAGACAGGTGCCAATGCGTGGTATAGTCAACATGGCTTTGAGTTAATCCATGCATAAAATATCTGTAAGAGACAGGCAAAACACACACGCACACATGCACGCACGCATACACCCAGGGAGAGAGCAGTGGTGAAGAAAAACAGGAAAAAAGACCCTTTTCTTCTAGAAGATATTGTCATGCTGGCATCAGCTAATCTGGACAGTCTACAAAGAGCCAAGTGGAAAAACTGTCTTCCAGTATAATTATATAAGCTCTGTACTCTGCTGCTGTAAGGAGAAAAAAAAACAGCAGAATAATCAGGGTGGATTTTTTTGTCAGAAATTGCATCACTTTAACCGTCTTTATTTCTCCATCCAGCCACTTAGAGCATGGATGACATTTGTGGACATGGACTACAATTTCAACCTGTTCCGGCATTAGTCAGAAGCTTGATTGGAATAATTTGTTTGACGTTTTACTCCAGGACTCTTGTCAAGTGCAATGTTTTTTTTTTTTTTGCCTCAAATTGATTTCATCTCAGAACATTTGCTTTTAACTATTCATGCTGTGCTGTTGAGATGTAGGTTACTGACAAGGCATTGGACCAAATTATTCACTCTAGATACTGCTAGAGGCAAAATTCTTGCTTTCTCACTTTAAATTTTTAAAGCTTCCATGCAGACTTTTCAAAAATATCAATCATAATCTCTGTAGTTTATCACACACACACTCACACAAAATTCAAGATTTCTGTTGTTTTTGCTGTATTTGTTTTGTAAGTTGTTATTTAATCAAAATAAATGCAACCCACCAATATAAAGCTTCCATGTGAAAAAGTCTCTGGTGACAACATATAAGTATCAGATTAGAATGATCCTTACTTTCTTTAAAATCAAATTCATCTTTCAAAAATGTTTACTTGTATTCTGTACACTGTAAAATAAATTATAAAATTTACAATAAATAGATTCCAGCAGCTGTGGTTGTCAGAATTTCACCACAGCTGCTGGTATCTTGTTGTAAATTAAATTATTATTTTTTTTTTTTACAATGTATAGTTGCAACCAAATATTTGAGCTACATGTAAGAACATTGTGTGCAGACATGCATTGAAGTAATCAGAAAAATTCAAAGCGAACTTTAAATACATTGATATTTTGAGTATTTTTAAATTCAGCTAAATATTCCTTATCAGTATCTAACATGGTTTGTTTTATCAGCAGAGCCAAACTTTGACTTAAACATATATGAATTAAACTCTTAAAGCTTCGCAATCTGTGGTGAAATTCTTAAAAAAACAACAACAACAACAAAAAAAACAACATTATGAGTCTGAGAAAAAAACAATCATGGCTGATCAGCTCGATTCTTTCGCCTCTGTCGTCATCAGCCCAAACACACACAGGAAAACGTGTGACTTGCTTTACTCAATGTGCTTTTTACAGCGCTGTTAACCTATTATAACATGACGTAATACGTAAACCAGTTACAGTTCAGCAGGTGCCTCAGGTCCAAATGTGTTGGGTATTTAAGGGAAAATGTAGCACACAAACCACCTTAATCACAAGCTAAAAAAAGGATTTTAATGCACTTTTTAGCCTCATCTTGTCCCTGTGAATGTAATGACTGCTTGCTTCTGCCTTGCATTAAGTCCTCAAACACATTTGCATGTGTGTTTTCCCGGTACAAACCTATTAGGGAGTCCATACAAAGGAAGTTTAAAGCTGAATAAGACATTGAGGTGTTTATAGGATTCAGCTGTTCCTAATAAACTCTCCTTGTTAACATCCAGTCGGACACGTTAAAGCAAGTGTAATAAAGAAACAGAATGGCCTTTCTCTCAGAGCAGTTCTTCATAAACTGTAGCAGCAGATGTTGAATTATTTGGATGATTTATGTATTGTTAGCTTAAAGTTTAGCAGCATTAGAGGAGATTACTTAGATCTCCTTGCCAGACATGAAGAGACTGAGTGAATAAAACATTGCTGTCTGGACTGTTCATTTTTGCATAATGGTGAAACTGTTGAATGAATACGCTGAATAGAACATACTACATGGCCCTGAAGCCTAAAAATGTAACTCTTTGAACTAAAATGTTGATCTGCGGCGCATGTTGTTCATCCAGTGTAGTTTCTTTCTTTTCTGAGCTTAAATAACAGCACAGTATTATGGATGGGAGTGAAAAGGTTGCATAGCTTTAAATTTCTTTTAAAAACAACAATATAGTAAGTAGAAATTTGCATTGAGTCAAAACTGTCACATTTTGCTGTAATTGCCAGTTCAAATCTCTTCCATCAGATTGCATGGAAATTGTCCATTTTTGAAGTCTTGCCATGGATCTGAATTTAGGTCTCGACTGTGACCGACAATGTGTTTCTATCTACACATTTTCTTGTCGAACAGATTAGAAGCTAACTATTGTTTCTTCAATCAACTCTGACCAGCTGAAGAAGAGCATTCTTAGAGCATGATGCTGCCCCCACCATGTAGGGATGATGTTCAGTGTGGAAGGGAAATGTCTTCAGAGCTGCAGACTTTCAGTTTTACCACTGTTTTCTTTTTAACATGCTGGTCGGAGCAGTGCTCCATGATATTATTCATGTATTATTTTATATTAGAACTTAATATCTAATGTATTATAAACGCAATTTTTGGATGGTATTTGTTTACTAGCACATTATCTCTATTGAGGTGACTTTTGAATGCAGTTTGTTACAATTTAGTGACCTTTAATTAAAGGGGACAGCATACTTGACAGGCACACTTTTTGAGAACTGTTGTATATTTCAAATTCACAATTACACAAGACTGTCTGTTGGTCAATCCCATAGAATCCTGTTTTATTTCTCTTTTTTTTATTTTTTACCAGATAAAATCTGAATAAAACACTTTGAAGTTTGCAGCTTATGACAAAATATAAAAAAGTTCAAGAGTGATAAAGGCCAAATGACTCTACACATTAACTAACCAGAATAAAATGACTCAAAGAGAACGGTCAGCTTCTACATTTATTATATGCCGTAAAAGACAAAGAGGCTTTCCTAACAGCTGATTATAAAGTAATCTGAGAACTACACTTACATTTACCGTTTTGTTCATTAGGATTTTAAAGCCTTGATTTTTACAGATTAAAAGTGTTGTTTTTTTTTTTAATATAGACCTATTAAAATCTCATTCTACGTTATGAACTTCATCAGCTTTAATCATGGCTGGTTGTGGCATTTCAATCTTTTGGAAGGCAGGGAGCATTGAGATCTCATGTAATAGCAACGTGCTTCACATTGATGTCTTAATGAGTTTATAGTCTTTAGTTCATGACAGAATGTCACAAAAAGTAAAAATGATCAACGAACGCTCTTCAAGCCATTAACTGTTCCTCACAAAACACTTATATGTCAGACTATTGTTCCATAAGGTGTCGTCTTGACAGGTAGGACATTATTGTATTAAATCATCTGTTCAACAGAGAAGACAGATTAAAGCTAACCCACCTGTATTGGGGATTGTTAATCTCCCACCCAGGAAGTTGAAAGTCCCGTAGGAGGTGTTGGCCACATCACGGGGGAGAGTTTTAAAGTAGGTCTGAGTGGACAGCCTGCTCACAAACTCTGTGGTGTCTGAGTTGAGCTTCCCATTGTGGAGAGTGTGCGATCCGTTGGGAAGCGGGTCCAGTAGAGGCCCGTTGGTCATGGAAAACTTCCCAGCGGTATCGTGGCGAGAGCGCAGGGTGCCCTGGTAACTGGTGGTGGTGGTCGTCAGATCAGGCTGGATGGTGAGCAAATGAGAGTTCTCTGTTCGAATAATGAAAACAGAGAGAGGAAAGGAAAAAGGGAGATATGTGAATCTCAATGAGTGGCGGAGGGGTGGCAGAGTGGAGGGATTCGGCATCACACAGACAGACCTCACACTCTAAAGCTGTTTGCATCACGCACAGAAAGCCGAAACAAACACTGAAAGAGACACATGGTTCAGAAAACAGAGCATCCATACACACACACACTCATGCTCTACAACACATAAACACAAATTCCACCCAAAGCCACTCAATTTCCACCCCCCACCCTCTCCTGCTCTATCACTGCCTGTCTTTTTAGCAGCCACACAATCAATCCCAAACAGAACTCAGATGCAGCTTAGCATCCAGAATGCATAAAGGCTTTTTATTTTCACGGTGAATCACAGCCACTGCAACCCAGTTCCCCGTCTCCATCCGCCTCAGACAGTTGTATTTCTATTACTCGCTGTTAAACCTCAGAGGCTCCACGCAGGCAGTAAACAGAGTGGGTACGTTTCCTGACAATGAGGTGGTGGCAAAACATAATGTGCCAGGCAGGCAAATAAAGAGCTCATGAACTGCACACACAGACACGCAAACACGCCATAACTCTTCCTTGGACCACAGACCCCACTGTAAGTGCACTCACACCACCTCCATGACCACAGTTCCAACAGGTTCAGAGCTACATGTGGACGGATGCGTTACGGTCACAGTGGGAAGATGGACAGACGAGGGTAAAACAAAAAAACAGTGTCCTACTGCTGTGGGGAGGCCTTCGTGGCCGTGGTGCCCACACACCTGGCTTGCTGGGCTTAATGCCCATAGGCTGGAAGCCAGTGGTGAGTATGGAGGAGTCCGCCACGTCAGCATCCAGGCCCTCCTTCTTGCGCCGGTAGACCAGGACGACCACGATGAGCAGCAGGGTCAGACAGAGGGCCACAGCCACCATGCCCACGTACAGCGCCACGTCCTCGGCCCCGCTCACGGCTGCAAGCAGAGAAATTATTCATCAAGACACTCCGGCTGTGTGAGGCATTTGTTATTTTATTCAATGGAAAAAGTTTTCTTGAGGACTTCTTTAGCTACGTGAGGTCAGTGTCACATTTGGTGCGGCGGTACTTTATCTCGCGTGGTATCCGATTAAAATTTTCTTAAACTTAAAAACTTTAATCTGATATTAGATAGCCCAAGATTTATGAAGTCTGGAGTTTGTGTTACTGAGTTTTCTGTTGGAATTTTGTACAACATAAATACCGCGGCAAGAAAAGCAAGTACAAAGCTGTAAAAACCCATTTTTTTGTACTCCTTATTGTCAAAGTACTGTGGTCTGCTCGATTTTCCTTATGTAAGTGAAATCCGTAAGCATTCCCACAACTCTCTTAAGGTCCTATTAAAGCATATTAATTATGACCTACAGTAACAATGTGTCTCTTTGTTTCTCAAATCATTTGAAGATTCCCTGCTGTGCTTTGGATTATCGTCTTGTTGTATGGCTCAGTTAAAGCCAAGCCCCTAATGTCTTTGTGACAGATGGCTTCACATCTGACTCCCAAACTGCAGAGGTAAATACAGTTAGGGCCAGAAATTTGGACAGTGACACAGGTTTTGTTATTTAGCTGTTGACAAAAATATGTTCAGAAATACAATTTATATATAATATGGGCTGAAAGTGCACACTCCCAGCTGCAATATGAGAGTTTCCACATCCAAATCGGAGAAAGGATTTAGGAATCATAGCTCTGTAATGCAGAGCCTCCTCTTTTTCAAGGGACCAAAAGTAATTGGACAATGGACTCCAAAGGCTGCAAGTAACTCAGAAGGCCTTTCCCTCGTTAACCTGTAATCAAGTAAGTAGTTAAAAGGTCTGGGTTGTTCCAGGTGTGTGGTTTTGCATTGGAAGCTGTTGCTGTGACCAGACAACATGCGGTCAAAGGAGCTCTCAATTGAGGTGAAGCAGAAACATCCTGAGGCTGAAAAAAAGGAAAAAATCCATCAGAGAGATAGCAGACATGCTTGGAGTAGCAAAATCAACAGTCTGGTACATTCTGAGGAAAAAGGAATTGACTGGTGAGCTTGGGAACTCAAAAAGGCCTGGGCGTCCACGGAAGACAACAGTGGTGGATGATCGCCGCATACTTCCTTTGGTGAAGAAGAACCAGTTCACAACATCAACTGAGGTCCAGAACACTCTCAGAGAAGTAGGTGTATCTGTCTCTAAGTCAACAGTAAAAGAGAAGACTCCATGAAAGCAAATACAAAGGGTTCACATGTAGATGCAAACCATTCATCAATTCCAAAAATAGACAGGCCAGAGTTAAAATTTGCCCAAAAACACCTCAAGAAGCCAGCCCAGTTCTGGAAAAGTATTCTATGGACAGATGAGACAAAGATCAACCTGTACCAGAATGATGGGAAGAAAAAGTTTGGAGAAGAAAGGGAACGGCACATGATCCAAGGCACACCACATCCTCTGTAAAACATGGTGGAGGCAACGTGATGGCATGGGCATGCATGGCTTTCAAGCACTGGGTCACTGTGTTTATTGATGACATAACAGCAGACAAGAGTAGCCGGATGAATTCTGAAGTGTACCGGGATATACTGTCAGCCCAGATTCAGCCAAATGCTGCAAAGTTGATCGGACGGCGCTTCACAGTACAGATGGACAATGACCCCAAGCATACAGCCAAAGCTACCCAGGAGTTCATGAGAGCAAAAAGGTGGAATATTCTGCAATGGCCAAGTCAATCACCAGATCTTAACCAATTGAGCATGCATTTCACTTGCTCAAATCCAGACTTCAGACGGAAAGACCCACTAACAAGCAAGACCTGAAGGCTGCGGCTGTAAAGGCCTGGCAAAGCATTAAGAAGGAGGAAACCCAGCGTTTGGTGATGTCCATGGGTTCCAGACTTAAGGCAGTGATTGCCTCCAAAGGATTCGCAACAAAATATTGAGAAAAAACTTTTTTGTTTGGGTTATGTTTATATGTCCAATTACTTTTGAGCTCCTAAAATGTGGAGTGTTTGTAAACAAATGTGTACAATTCCTACATTTTCTATCACATATTTTTGTTCAACCCTTTAAATTAAACGTTACAATCTGCACTTGAATTCTGTTGTAGAGGTTTCATTTCAAATCCAATGCGGTGGCATGCAGAGCCCAACTCACAAATATTGTGTTACTGTCCAAATATTTCTGGCCCTAACTGTAGATGTGTTGCCGGCTCATTGCAAAGATTCCTATGTCATGAAGATGGAAGACAAGCCAAGTCAAATGTTTAATGAAAAAGGTTGAAATGTCTAAGCAAAGTATCTTAACCGAGTCCTTTAGCTTGTTTCAGCCCTTAAAAGTATGATTTCTTTTAATTTAAAATGCTAAAAGAAGCAACGTCTTAGGAGTTTATTGCATTGTAACCAATAAATGCTCCATGGTTATGAAATGTCATGTGATGATTCTATGTAATGTATGACTTCCACCTTTTGAGATGACTTTTACACTTTTTCACAATATTATTTTTGTTTTTAGATGCACTCGCAGTTGGAAATATAACCACTGGGGTTGTGTATCTCTAGTTTGTGCCAAACAACTATCCCATCTGGACACACAGACAACAATGTGATTCACTTTGGAGACAATAAAAGGTGCCTGAGTCACTCGTCTATATCTAGCATGTCAGTATTTTAATTTCTTTCTTCAAACTTGTACAAACTTGAAAAATTACTCTAATGATACTTCATACTTGACTACATATGACCCCATTTGTTATTTATGAATTATGAGTTCCTCAGGATAATTGCTGATGTCTTTCCCTGTTGACATTACGCTAACACGCATCTAATTGTTCCAGACAAAACTCCTGCTTTTATAAATGTTATCTGAAACACATAACTTAGCTCCTGATAATTTTCTCTAAGACTAGCTACTTAGTTTATATTAGCATGACTTGCTAAAGTTTAAAACTACAAGTAAGTGCATTGACTTTCTCTATGTGACTGGATGTCTTAGGGCAGCATGTTGCTTGTCTTTTCTCTCTCTTTTCTTAACACTTTTATGTCAAATATTAAAGGGGGAAAAAATCCAAGATATATGGTCTTTATTGACTGCTACTGACAGCATAAGAGCATCCTCCTCCCAAAAAGTTCAGGTCAGATTTGATTTTTTTTTTAACTATGTGTGTGAGCAGTTGAGTGTGTTTGTATTTTGCAGGAAAATGGGATTTGCTACAGCTGTCTCCCTGTGATGCTGGAATTTGGTGGCGGAGGATTCTCCCAAGGCCTTTGTGGAGCACCATTGTGCCCAGAAGCCACTGGGGCGTAGTGCTGTCAAGCGAACACAGCCAAGGAGGGGACACAACGAGCGGTGCAGCATTGAGGGATGGGGAACAACAGAAAAGGTTAAAGTGCTGCAGGCTGCGCGTGTGCTGAGTTGACAACAAAAGGAGGAGGACAGGGTGGGAGAGAGGAGACAGGAACAAATGTAGCAGAAGGAAAATTACAATTAAAAGGCAAATGGGAGGGCTGAGTAATGTGCCTTTGACTGACGGCTTGTAGGAAATTAGCATATTTATCAATAACAAATCCAGAAATAAACCGGATTAGGACCCAATTCATCATTTTGTCATTAAAATTTGCAGGCATTCGTGATGATTTTGAAGCAACGAGCAACAACAAAGAGCTGCATTAACCTTTACAAACAACCGTTTGACATTTTGAAACGGTGTTAGTGAATTTGAGGCATGTGATAGAAAATTAAAATAGCAGTCAAATAAAAAAGAGTGTCATATTTATTCATTTTTGTGTATTTCTTAGTCCGTCTCTTCTGCTCGTGCTTCAAAATCTCAGTTTTCTTGGACAAAGCTTCCCTAAAATTTAAAAATGAAATGCCAGAATCTATTTCATGGGTGATTATCTCAGTGCAATCTGATACTTTAAGTAGAGGGATTATAAGCAGCTAACCTCTACGGCAGCTCCTCGTTCAGCCAGAGATATCTTGACAAGTAATCAATCGTGAATGACTGGCTAAAGATAAACACGAGATTGTTTTTTTTTTTTTTGTTCTAAACAGATATCCGCAGAACACACTTCTGGCTTGAAGAATCTTCTGGGACGCACTCCCATCCTCTTTGCGCTTCTCACATAGCCCATTTACCTATGTGCTCCTCACTATCTCTGACTCGACTCCCTGTGTTTTTCCATAAGTTTTCTCAGGCTAGCACAGAGGTGCTTAACTCTGAGCAGCCTGGCTGAACCCTTTGCTCTTCACAATGAGCTCCAGAAGCAGGGAGGGGAGACGTTCTGCACCTCTCATTAAATTTCTCAAATCCAATTGTTTTCGGCGAGTCAAAGGTCAGATGACAGCGTGATATTTGGACAGGTAGTTTTCCAGGCTGTTGAGGGATACTTGCTCTCTCAAAAGACAAAACAACACCCATCAGATAGGAGAGCAGCCACCTGTTTTCCACTGATTTAGATTAGTTTACTTTCTGAGGACACACCAAAGACACCTGGTGGAGCCAATGAAATCCGGTATCTCTGCACTTCCTTTTTCTCTTCAACCTCACCGCTGTTGCATCCAAACAATAAAGTCAGTCAATCAGACCTCCTCACTTTTTTTCTTCTCTGTCCACCTCTCTCATCCTCTGCCCAGACTGTAATCTCTGGTGGCTTATCAGAGCATCACTGAGTGAAGTTTTATCTGACCCACCAGGTGCCACAGCCAAACGATCCCAGTGCTCACTGCAGCTCCTCCTGGTCTGCACTCATTGATTCTCATGATGCCGGCCAATAATTGAAAGGACATCCATCACACTTTTAATTGACACAGCTAATCAGCTTTTATAATTGGATGGGTTCTACTTTAGTCCCTCTCCAAAGTGCCCTCTCTTTCCATGCACTCCATACCAATTTACTCATCCTCCGCCTTCCCCTCTCTGTCATCCGTCGCTGCATCCTCCACTTCTACTTGACTTAATTGCACAACTTTTGATTCTCTTCATGTGTGACCTCTCATCATGATTGACACCTGCCTGTGGATAATCTGTAGATGTGATGAGGTTTTTTTTTTGTTGCAGAAATGGCCGCAGGGCAATGTCTGTTTTGCTCTGTGAGTTTTCACTTCAGTTCGTCAGACTTGCTCCAGGGCTGGCTGGTTAAGCATCAGTTTCTGCCTTGAGATGGACCGGCATAACTCGTCTCTTCTAAAGCAGTGTATCTGGGTCCTGGAAATGTTTGGATTCTTGCTGTAGTGACAGATGGAATAATGTTCCTGGCTCTCCTCAGGGTTCCTACTCATTTTGAAAGGACATAATTACAGAAGTTTAATGTGAAACTTGCAAAAAACAGATAACGACGAATGGATGGATGGAAGGATAGATGAATGATTTTATGAAAAATACCTCAACTACCTCCCTCTGTTTTTCTTTTTTTGATCTTTTTTGAACCTTGAAAACACTTGGAATTCCAAACTTTCCCAGACTGCATAGGAAACCTGTCTCTACCTGCTCCTTTCTCTCAGCTGCATTGATAAATAAGAGCTTTAGAGCCTCCTGTGCTTCCTCCCCAGGGCATTTATCAGGAGACGAGCGAATATATTTCATCCCATGGCCAATCCTAGTCGCTTGCCTGAAGATGAATTACCCCCGACTTCTTAAGGTCAGGGAAATATGGCTACTAAAACTCTCAAAGTGAACGTGACCATTACTATCTCCACAATACAGTCGTCCCATCCCTCAGCGGGGTCCTGGTGAAATATGGTCCAAAATAAATGCTCAGCTATTTTTCACACAGCACCATGACCCTGCTCTGGCAAACAAACTCATAAAGAAAAAAAAATGGCAGCCAGTTTGCCACCAAATTAGCCTTAAATCCAAAAGCAAGCTAAAGATAAACTAATGCTATCCACCATTTTTTGTGACACACCGAAATTGGATGCTGCTCAAAATTAAGTCCATTACCCTTATCACACATGTTAAGTGAAATAATTGTTGTATTTTGTTCTAATTTCCTGAGTCAGGAAAGAAGGGAACCATTGTTTTTCCTCTCTACCCTTTGTGTGCCCTCCAACACCTGTCTGCCATTTAGGCTGTGGCTCCACGCCAGCACATTCATCGTTTCCATGCGCTGATTTTGCATGAGCTACATTTTGGGCTTGACTTGTTTTCTTTATGAAAATGATCCTGCACGGCTCAAATCTGTTTGTTTTCCAGCTGTAACTCAAATCCAGGACCAAGGATTAGTTTTCATGCACATTGCCCAAACCAATATCCTCTTCTAAAGTGTCACTTTTAACATGACAAGGGAGATCAGAATCTCAGACAGAGGAGAGCTTTAGTTACAGTGTGACGCTGATTTACTTGCTATTTTGAATTTACATCGGAAGAGAAAGGCTGTCTTTTGTTTCAGGGGCAAGTTCTCCATCATTGCTAATAGCCTGGAGATATGGTTGAAGTTGGCAAGTTGCTGACGAGCCAAAACCATCTCGCCTCTGTGCTTATTTTAATACTTCACACAGCAATTGTCTGTGGATTCGCATCTGCGAGGAACAGATTGGGATGGGGCATTCTTCAGAGGCCAGCGCTCTGCTCCACACTGTCAGGAAAAATACTCTGCGACTCTGTGTGCGACTGTGAGAGAAAGACGGGAACAATGACGGGCATCTTTGTGTATGTTTCCTGCCTCTCTGAGGAGGAGCTGCTGACCTTTGATGATTGGCCGACTGAGCTGCCTGGGATCACTGCACCCTGCCAAACTCGCCCGCTGCTCGACAAAAGCAAGCACATGCCCGCAGCGCGCTATACATTATGCAGCATCTCGCATACTGTAGATCTCAGCAGATATCCTCCTTCAGTCCATCTGATCACATCAATCAGTGCCCGATACCAGATTTCAGTTTATTAATTCATCGGCTCATGTCAGATGAATCCCCATTAAGACTTGCGGTGTTTACCATGAGGATCAGCCAAAGAGCACACTATTTATAGCCGTTTCTATTCGAGATGCCGCCCTCATTGTCTCCGGATGGAAGGCTGCAATATGTTTCAGTCTTTGATATCTGTAGGGAATGATGGAGCTCTCTCTTCGTGTCCATCTGGTCAGAGTTGGACCCTGTGGAGCCTCTTTCTAGGTGACTGCTGACTCTGGCCCTTTGGACTCTGGCTTTTAATCCTTACAGAATAAACATGCCTTATTATAATTCACCGGGGATGTAAAATAAATACATAAAAGTTAAGTCGTGCTGGTTTATAAGCTAGCTGAGTCCAACATGGATGCTTTCTCACCCCGACAAGTGTCCTGCCGAACTCGTACGAGCCAGCCTCGTGCGTTTTCACAGCCCATTTGGCTCGTGGTCATTTATCTGGCAGGTTGTGTTTTAATCAGTGGAGAGATGCTTCAATTCTCACCTCTATTAATAGGTCAGGGAGCAACAAAGAGCTGATCCACGAGGTAATACAGTGCATTATGCTAGCAGCAAGTGTCACTCCACTGTTAATTAGAAATGATCACCTGAAAAGGTCACCCAGGTGGGGATGAGCTAACGGTGGGCCACAGATGAACCTTATGTGTGAAAATGTACCTCAAGGGAAAAGCAGCTTTTTCTTGCTGACTCCTTAGCAAGACGAACTCGTCATTAATCACTTGATGCCAAAGTCAAAAGAAAGGGTTAAATGTTTAATTTACGTACTGAAAGGAAGAGGGTTACTTCTTCTTCTACAGTAGAAAAGCTTCGGAAATAAGGAAAGATGTTTTCTTATTCTTTGTGTTAGCCTCCTTCAGGGTTGCTAGCTGCAAATTTTTCATGTCTAAATTCCAAATTTTTCATGCAAAAGCCCACTTTGGGCAATTTTCACATACAGATACAAAAGTTCACTGTGAATATACTGCTTTTATCGAGGTCAGGTCATTAATACAGCAAAAGCACCAGGTGGAAAAAGAAACAATTTAATGGATAGGAAAAAGGAAGAAAGGAGGGAAGGAAGGGTAAAAGGGGTGAAAGAGCAAAGAAAGGAGCAAAGGAAAGAAGGAAGGAAGACAGGGAGGGAAATAACTAAGAACAAGGAAGATGAAGACAGGAGAAGTAACAAATGAAAAACAGAAAGGAAGGATAAAAACTGCATGGTACGAAAAGAAAAATTAAAAAGAAAGAAAGAAGAAAATGAACAACCAAGGATATTAAGACAAGTTCACTGGGATAAACATGAAAACATTTTTCCAAACTTTACCATATTCCACAGGATCCCTCCTCATTATTGGAGCTGCCTGATGAACCACCTGTTCACTTGTCTCCTTGTGTTTTGTCTAACATACTGACTTTTCCTAACTTTAGCTATAAAATTCAATTGTTCTTCAATTTATTTTAAAATCCATACTTGCTCCTGAGATCTCTTGATCCCGTTGCCAATGGCTAAGAATAAATCTCAAACATCACATCTTGCATTGTTGCAGCAGAGTCGAACAGTGAGAGCGATAGTTTTGCAGCGTGTGGGTGGTTTGTGCACTCACTCTGTGGGCACTGCTCGTTGGTACAGTTCATCGACTGGAGGTCGAGCCCCTGGCAGTCCTTGCCCCCGGTGCCGGGCGAGGGCTGGGAGCACTCCCTGCTCCTCCACATCGAACAATCTGCCCCGCATGCCGACCACTTGCTCCACTCGCTCCAGCCTCCGTCCACTACAAGAACACACATATAAGACACGGCTGAGGATGAACATGCACACATGGCAACAAAAAGCCACAGTTTACATTTACACTCCAGTTTACGGGAACAAAATGATTGACTGGAAACCACGGTGATAGAATTCGATCACACAGTAAAGTTTATTTACAACGCAGCGGCGGATTTGCGTAATTTGAGAACATATAGATCAGAAAGCTCTGTTCCCATCATGTGCAAAACCACTCGTGCAACCCCAGCGTTGATATTTTACAGTCATGCAAATAAGCTTGTGCAAACTTTTCACATCCACCAGAGGCACAAGGTAACCACTGCATGTAAAGCTGCGGAGGAGAGCCATGATGTTTCTATTCTCCTGTCTTTGTTTATTTTTAACATGCAAAGCAGATGCAGCAGATAAACCCGAGTGGTGTGACTGTGCTGTGCTGTGACCTGGTCACCAAACCAGATAAGCACAAAGAAAACAAAATTGCTCTGCAAACATAAATAGATAGGTAAACATACAGTGTTTCGCAAAAGTATCACCGCCCCATAACTTTTCAGCATTTTGTCAGATTGCAACCATGAGCTTCAAGGTGTTTTATAAGGATTTCATGTCATATTTTATTACAACATATTACATTGTTGAAAAGTGGAAAGGAAAAAAAGAATCTGGACCAAAAATTTCAGTCCTGCTCTCATCTGACGGGAACCCTTTCCCCCCTCATGCTACTTCCCAACTAAACCTTTTAGAGCTTTCCTTCAACACTCAATTATTATTATTATTTTTTAATGCAATTCTTCCGTAAACATAATCTGGATTATTTAATCTCCTTTAGAGATACTACAAGCTTCACAATTTTAATGAAGGGCAATGATTTTGTAGGATTGCAGTAGTGTCATACTCTCTTTGGTTGACTTATGAATGAAATCATTTGCACTGAATGTGATTAGGAGTATCAGACTAACACAGGGCTTACAATTGCATTTCACACTTTTATCATTTTCCCTTCAATTAAACAATTATGCACTACTTTGTGCTGGTCTATCACACCAAAATTTGATTAAATATGAGAAACAGTAGTTTTAATGCGAAGAATGTTTCTGCAAGGCACTGTAGTCCTAATCCAAGTTTCTTTAGTAAATGTACATTTGTGAAAGAAACAAACCTGCTTTGGTTTGATTACTTAGTCAAACAAGACGTTACTGTAGCAACCGTGATGCCGCCTGCAGCGCAACTGGATGCAAAATACAATACAGGTGGTGTTATTATGAGCTGAGGAGAGAGTACATTACAGCTGCAGGCCAGTCACAACTTCAAACAGCCCATCATCAGCACAAGCAAAATGAGACAAATGAAAATGGGCCGGTAATAGTTGTGTGCACGGCCAGCTGTAAGAAATATCAGCCGGTCTTTTCTTCACACAGAGAAGGAGGCCATTTCACAAAGGAGGGGGTAATTTGGCATTGTGGCCAGTGGAGGTGGTGGCTGAGAGTGATATTGAGAGTGACACAGCGCTGGGCCGGGAGAAGGTTACCGTTCGGCTAATGGGAAAAAGAGCAGTAATGAGCTCTCATGGGGGGGAAAAAACACCTCTGTCTCGCTCTCTTTCCCAAACGCAAGGGTGAAGGGGACCTGATGACGTTCTTCTACACAGACAAAGTTGAAGCATGTGACAGCGGTGACCCCACCCCCGGATGACCAGAGGCTTGGAAAACCCTCGTGTTCATTAATCTTGGCAATGAAGAGAACAAGGGAAACGATTCCCAGAAAGCCGATCACTCCCCTCGCAGTTCACGAGTCTTTGGTTGATCAAACATTAGTGAAATGCCAAAATTGTTCAAATTTGTATTAATCTTAATCTGGAAAACCAAGTGAAAAGCAAAGTAGACTTAGTTTGTAAGTAAAAACAGAGAACAAAAATACGGTACACTTATGTATGTTTGTTTTTTTTTTTTTTTCAAATGGCTACAAGAAAACTTTAGCACTACCCTGCTTGATTTGTGTGTGTGTATGTGTGTGTGTGGCGGGATGCTGACACAGCCTGGATTCTTTTTGCAGTCAGATCAATTTGGCAGCAAGAGCAGAACCAATCAGATAATTGTCCTTGTTTGGCATTGAGTGGACCCATCCGTGGGCTGGTGGGCTCGTTGTCCAGGATGGGAATGAAAATGATTGAATAGCAAATTACATACTAATGAATATATTATGTTGCCCCTCAGTTTATCCACATGGCTGTGAAATAAAGAGATGAGATCAACATCTGCCCTGATGAGATGATGGAATTCTTCTCCTCCCTTTTCCAACACAAAACAAAACTAATGACCATGCAAATGACATTTTCAAACAAGGAGAGCGACGTGGACCTAAAAAGTGGCGCTATACGATGCAGACATGAGACGAGCACCGGCACCCAAACCTGACGAGAATCAAACGTAAAGACAAGGATGGACGGACGAGCCTCGACTGGCCGACTCTGAATGCGTGCCACACGATTTAGCATGAAAGCAAGCAGCGTATGGAGAGCATAAAAAAGACTCAGCAATTACAGATGTGAGAAAACCAACTAACAGATCTTTTCTTTTTAATTTGTCAAGCTCCATGAAAAAAACTAATCCAAAGCCATGGTTTTCCAATTTAAATCCCCAGAAGGAGATTGTTACTTCCACAGCAAAAGGCACCTTAGCCGATTTTCAATCTCGCAGCGCCGCAGGTTTCAGGTCAGGCGCGTCTCTGAGGAGGTACAGTAATACAATAACCCAGTGGCACCCTCCCCTCATCCCCTTCCTCCCCATTTGGACACATTGCCAAGTGTAGAAGCAAAAAGAATCCGACCATTCTCCACAGGTCAGTGGGAGGGCCTGGTTGAGACGCCGCTGTTCAAAATGACAATGGCTGCTGACGGACGCAGCTCGAGATCGCTGAACACCTATGGTTTCTGTGTCCTTGAAGGAAACACGGGGAGGGGGATAAGTACCACTGAGACCAGCAGGTTGTCCCTCTGCTCCCACTGTCCTGTCAGCGCACATGTGTTCACACGTCCCGCCGCTAATCCCAGGCATCAAAAGGCTGATTGAAAACAGAAATAAAGACTTTTTACTTCCTCACATTGCAGAAATAAAACCGATCTGATGGTTAATATCGATGTAATTTTGATGTACAATTTCGACTACTTTAATATTTCTTGCTGATCAAAAACACAGAAAGCTGAGCTCACTCTTTTGTGTTGCTTGAAGCAGAGATATAAACCAAAGTGAGATAGGGTGAGATATGAAGGAGGGTGGGCTTAAATCGAAAGGCACCAAATGATTAAAAATGATGCAAGTCTGTCACCAGATGGCCACCGTCTTTTTGCATCAAATTAATGTGCTCGGCTGCCACATTTATTACCCACCGCCTTCATTTATTCTATGGGTAAAATGTGCAATCTGCAGAACAATCGAGGATGATTTTTTAACAAACGCGTGAGAACGTACTTCCAAAGTACAATTAGACTTTCGCCTGCAGTGCAGAAAAAAGACATATGGGGACGTGTTCAGGACTCGTCCGAGCACAGACGCAGACACCAAGGCGGGCGTGCACAAGCACACCAGCTCCGAGTCTATTTATTTTTCATCTTGCTGAATTCTCCAGACTCCGCTGGCAAGCCAGAGGGATCGTTACCATTTTTAAATAATTCACTCAAGTTAGAAACCTCTTCAGGTTGTTTGGTGTTTGCTCTCATCTCAGGCGGCGGCTCAGTTCATCTTGTTGCCTTCCAAAAGCTGGTGACTAACTGTTAGCTATTGGCTGCGGGGATGTGAGTCTTTGTTGGAAATGTTGGCATGATCTGACATTTTGCCACTACTGTTGGCTCTGACCACAAGTCGGTGCAGGGCCACGGTCAATAATAGAGTGAGGGATGGACTGCTGTATTATGTGGGATAATTCAGCAGGATATGCTGGGATGGAGATGAGAAAAGAAAAAAAAAGGTGGAGAGGGAAGAGGAGAGGGGGGGCAAATAAGATGAGCTCTGGCATAGTTTGGCTACTCTCTGTCTCAAGTGTTGATCTGCTCTGCTCTCAGCCTCAGGCTTTAGCCTCAGCCTCCTCCACAGCTCCCCGCGTCTCTCTCAGCAAGGAGCCCATCTGATCCGCCACGCAGGCCTCCGCCAACTCTCATTAAACACTTTGGAGACTCAGACAAAAATACAGATGAGCCTCCATGGCTTCGCACGTTTCCAATGAGAGGTGGGAGCTCGCATTTAGACACAAGAGTCATCGCGAACAGACGTGTGGACAGTTTTGTTATTGATGGTGCCAGGCTGTGGAAGATAATCCATACCCTATATGTATAAAAATACGCCTCCGTGGCTGACCTGCTCAGAAGAAACCGCGTTACTTTTAAAAGGTGAAAGCAGCCGCGCCCGAGCACATCAACCAGAAACACACATGAAGACTTGGCTTAACAATAGGATTGTTTCTTGTTTATTTGCATGCGTAAAAGAGTTAAGTATAAACGCAAACAGAACACCATAAACATTTAAAGCCTCAGCTGATTTGCGATGTTCGTCCCCGTTGGGTTTTTAATGGCATAAAACAATTTAAAGAAATAGTTACAGTGAAACTGGGATGGCCAGGGCAAAAAAAAAAAAAAAAACAAGAAATATGTAGCACGAGCTGCTAAAATAAAACCAAACTCAAGGGTTTTGCAAAGGGTTTTATATATTTGTTATATTTTGTTGCGTTACAGCTGACTACATTCTAATGTATTTTATTGCAATCTTTTTAATAGTGCAAAATTATGAAGAGATCAGAAAAGCAAACATAGTTTCCAAATATTTTCATAAATATACGTCTAATAAAACATTTTTTAACATAAAAAAAATATTATGCCTAGTCACACATAAGATGCAATCGCAGCAACCCAGAACCCAGTATTCTTTCTTTCAAAATACTTTCAGCTTATGTAAAGAAGAAGTAAGGTGCAAGAATATGCTGTGGTTTAAGCCTTTCCTTGAGTGGAAAGTGGATCTTTTGCAGCCTCCTACAAAAATTTACTAATAAGGTGACATTCATTACAAATGCTCACTAGAAAAATAACAGAGTTCTCCCAAGCCTTAACAAACATGCTCTACATCGTTCTAGCTCATCACAGAAATCCCAGTTTAATACACTAAGGTTTGTGGTTGTAGTGAGAGGGAAAACGTGAAGAAGTGCAAGGGGTGCAAACACTTTTTACATTACACTGGACGTTAAGCACTCCAGAGAGCTAATAATCAACAGCAAATTCCAAGTTTATATAATTGATGAAGTCTTGAAACCAGACCAGCCGTAAATCATGTAATTTTCAACAACTCAAAAACAAAGCAGCCGTGGAGGAAAATCCCCCCTCTCAAGGCTGGCATCAAAAAATAAAGAGCACTACTTCTGAATCCGAATGTCGGCAGTGTCTGAATAAATAACACGATGTCTATCTGCGGCGATACAGCTCTCCATGCGATCCGCTCTTCTCAAGTCTCTTTCAGTGATGGACTTAAATCACTATCTAGATCTGTGAAGGCTATACGCGCAGCGATTATTGAAGTTGTTCTGCAGTAAGTGGCGATGCTGTCTCTCTCACACACTGCAAGGCTGGACGGCCGCTTCTTGCTGAGTGCAACTCTTGTATGCGAGTGTCTGGTCATGCGTTCAAGCTCATGATTCATCCGTTCGTAAATCAGTTGGCTGATGAAACAAAAAGGGGTTTAATTTGGGAGATCTGATTCCGTTAATGCCTCTGCTTACATGAAGGCTTGGGCGCTCCTTGGGAAACAGCATCCCAGCATCCACAGCCGCTGGTGTTGCCGACTCTGGCCAGCTGCAGACAGCTGGGCCTGTCAGTGTTACTGATGCCACTAGCTCAGACAAGTAAATGTGAGAATCAAAGCCAGAGACCACACTCTGTTGCCAAACACCGGGACTGACAGGTGTAAGTGGGGTCATGTTGCCCTAGCATCTCTCATCAACAGGGAAAAAAATGACTTCTTTCTCTCCCAAAAGTCTCTGTAAAAACGCATTTGCCAGACACAATGCAGTTTTTTTTTTTTTGCCATAGCTCCCTTTTGGTGGGAATTACACTCTTTCTCCTTGAGGAGCAGGAGAAAGATGAAGGAGGAAGTGGTTCGGTCTAACAATAGCAGCTTGGACTGACATTAATCTCTTTAAGCTCATGGAGGTCAGTAGCCTGCTTTGCTGTGGAGGAATGTCAAGCATCCCTGGGCACCGCTCTAATTCTAATTCCATTACTAGTTTCTCCGGCTCTAATAATTCAGACTCTGTTCACATCCCGGCGCTGCATCGTGCATTTGTGTTTCCGCTGTCTTCCTCCTCCCGCTGTATTCCAGTGGGCCATGTTACTTACACTCATCCTTGACATGTAGTGATGTCTTTACATGGGAGATGTGTAACAGAACGCCTTGATCGCTGAGGAAGATAGCCTCAGTTTTAGGCAGCAAGACGAAGCCCTTCCTCCCTCCCCCCCTTTTGTCAAAGGTGTCGTATATCTTTCTCTGATATTTACAGACCGTGGGAGATATCTCCTGCGGTCAGCGTGGCCCCAGCTCCCTGTCAGAGCCAAACACCCGGCTCCATTCCCAGCGTCTCTCTCCTTTTCTTTCCGACGTTATATCTGATTCCACCTGTTTCTATCCCTGCTTTCACCTCCCTCCTTCATTTTCCTGTCCAGGTATCTCCCCTGTCAGGGGTTTCTAATGCGAACCAGCAAATGAGGCAGCTTGACTTCCATCTCAGGCTCCCAGAGATCAATAAGTGTTGCTCACTATCAGCCACGACGCTCTCTGCCTCTCAGACACTCTCACAGGGGAGACTGAGCCAGCAAATGAAATTCCCCTTAACTCCTCTCACATAAACATAGCACGCAAGCTCCCATAATTCAGATTTTTTTCTGTTTCTTTTTTCTTTTTTCTTTTTTACCACACATTTTAAGTAGCAGCTTGAACAGGAAATAACAACAATTGCTCTGGTGAGTGCGACACAAGGCCAAGGCTGTGTCTATGTGTATGGGGTGGGATCTGAAATAAAAATTAAGTCTATACACGGCGCAGCTGATGATGCCAACATGTGATGGTATTAAATTTTTTGCACGATTACTGTGCAATCGCTTTAATTGCAGAAGGCAACAAAAGCTTGCCATCTAAAAAAAAATTAAAAACGCTACTTGGAGTTGAAAGTACAGTGCGAAAGGGCAGGGAAAAGAATGAATTGATGACTTCTAGATGCAAAAAAGAAAAACAAGAAAAATGCAAATAAAGGAAGCCACAAGAAGCCAATGCCACAGGACAAACAGGGCTGCCTGGGAGTTACCTGGACAGGTGGCCACACAGGCACTTTTCTGGACGTTCTGCCCCTCACAGGATGTGCCTCCGTTCAGTGGCGTGGGATTGGTGCAGCTCCGGCTCCTCTTCTGCCAGCCACGCCCGCACACAGCGCTGCAGGACGACCAGGTGGTCCATGTGGACCAGCCACCGTTGACTGTCAGACCGGTGCCGATAGGAGGAGGAGGAGGAGGAGAAGGAGGAAGGTGAGAGGATGTCGGGGGGGAGTAGTAAGGAAGAGGGGAAGGTTGAATGGAAGGAGGGAGGAAGGGATGGATGGATGAAGGAACAGAGCAGCCAGGTTTACCCGACATGCAGAAATAAAAAGAGGTGTGCTACATTTGAAAAAATTGTGACTGCCTGTACACTGCTAGGCTCCACACAGAAAGGTGAACACATGGAGGAGCAGGAGCAGAGTTGGCTGCTTCCTGCATGTGTGCTGGAATTACAGCCAAACACAGTGAAAACAAAATGACTCAACAGGAAGCGGAGTATAACCAAGCAACTTGCCAGACCAGACTAACACAGTTGCTGCAGCTGGTGATGTTAAAACTAATATTATATTTGACTGTTTTCATAAACAGTCAAAAAAGTCCGAATTTTTACAGCTCTTGGCGATGCTTTTTCTATTTGGAAGACCAAACGATTATATGAAAGTTATATGAAATATAACTTTAAAGTACAGTGTCCCCCAAAAACTTTTAATGCTTTTTTGTTTTTTCCCCCCCACATTTAGTCATGTCACATTCACAAACTTCAATGCCTGGAATTTTATATCAAACAAATAAACAAAAGAGCTCACAACTCCAGGATGAAAACAATTAAGTTTATACAGCTAATATTGTTTCCCATATAAATAATATCTAAACTTAACCAAGTTATACTTTGGTGACTTGGATTCATATGACTTGCAATAAGTTGTTGTAAATCACTTAAATTTGTGCATCAATGTGTTAGATAATAAATGTAATGGTGTAGATAATCTCACATACTCCCAAACATAAACAACTCAGTTATATTAACATAAAATAGTTTCATAAAATACTTCCTGGCTCTGCTCCTCTTCAATTTATTCAAAAGAATAACAAGCAGCGAAAAAGGATGAGACCCATTGTCGGAGTGCAATCCTGAACAACATAAGGAACATTTTACATCTCATTTCATATAGAAATCATCTTAAAAGCAGACTCTTCAAAAATATCTCTATTGATGTTCATTGATGTGTATGGCTTTGGTTGCTTATACACATTTAACTTCATTTCACGTCACATTTATTTGTGTTTAAACTCAAATTTTCCAGTGGGACTAGAGATGAAAATTAGCCACTTGGCTATACTCTCATGTATTTAAATGTTCATATATATGTATTGTATTATTCTTTTAAATAGACTAGAAACTAAATTAAAGTAAATGAGGAAGAAATGTTACAACTAGAACTAGAAGAAATTCACCCCTACATCATGAAGCTGCCACCACCAAGCGCCACAGTGGAGATGGTCGCTTCAGGCTTTTCTGTCACAGATAACAACTATGTGGGCCAAAGAGTTACATTCTTCCCCTCTTTTTCCCAGGGTGCCTTGTATCACATGTGGCTGGAGGTTTGAAGCAAATGAAAAAAAAAAGTGGCATCTCTTTTAAAACAGTTTTGCAATAAACTTGTACAGATGAGTCCTTCAATGAGCTCCCTCTGGTCATTCATAAATTATGAATCAAACTTATTGCAGAACTTAAAGGGCCATGGAGTTGAGTTTCTCAGGGTCAATATAAAATGTTGAGCACAGAAAACTCAGAAAACTCTTAAATACATTTGCAGCGTGCCAGAGCTCTTTGGTTTAATTTACGAGCTTAGCCAAAACCAGCTTTTATGAAACTGTACCAACCTAAGATCCAGTGAGCTGTTGTTTTGTTGTTTTGTGAAAGTCAGCTCAAATTGTTCAACATGCATTTCTTGGCCATGTAAGTCAAATACACACTGAGGTAGTCTCTGTGTTTTCCTTTAATTCTCCTTGCCAGCTGGCCGTCCAGATTGCCTGTAATTGCTGTATCACACACTCGAGCAGCACCGTCGTTTTACCCCTTCACAAATCAGCTGATACGAGGTTCTGACTCCTTTTCTTGACAAGCCAGGGACGCCCCCTGTTACTTGGTCTTTTCACAAGATAAACAGAGCGAAAAACCATCTTAATGAAGTTCTTCATGAAAGGTGAAATACACCTTTGATTTATCACTCTCAACAATCTTTTTCTTTCCACGCTTTATAAAACAAAGATGTTTGCCACACATGATTAATAGTTGTCATTTTGACAGACTCTCCTGCCTCAGTTCTGGATGTCAGCAGCTCCTCCAGAGTCACAATTGGCTTCTCTGACAGCCAGGTCTTGCAAACAAGTTCCTTCTGTTTACTATTTAGAACATTTCTAAAGGCAATTAGTTGCCTCAGCTGATACTAAGGGGTATCAGCTTAAATGAGGCAAATACCATATTCAAACTATAAGGATTTTTGTTCTACCTCACTATCATGCACTTCTTTGTATTGATCTATTACATAAAAGCCCAGTAAAATATGTAAAGATGTGCGGTTGCACTATAGCAAAAAAAGAAAAATGTCTAAGGGGCATGAATACTTTTTTGCCAGATACTTTAAACCACCCTTCACACACTGATTTTACGACATTATTCAAACAAAGCCTAGAGTTCAGGCATTTCATGAACTTTAAACACCGAATTCCTATTACTGCAGCTATTTGCTGAACCATTGCTCCTGTTCCAAACTTTAAGTGTCAATTATTATGTAACTGATATTGCTGAGCGCCTCTCAATCATGGCAGGTGATTACATCAAATCATGCAGCTTCTTTCCCAGCATCTACCGTGTTTCCTTCAGCCTATGAGCTACACAGTTTCCTGATTTATTGACCTGAGCGGCACTGTCATTGCCTCTCTGTACATACTCCCTTCGTAATTTCCCCTTAACTCCCTGCGCTTGTCGGGGCTGAATCATTTCCTTGCCCTCTCTATGCAATTGATTGCTCGCCACAGCGAGGTAAATTGCCAGGCAACTCGGCCTCTGATTACCTCTTAGCACCGAGTGCAGTCACACCAGCCGGGTCTTGTTAAAATGCATCTCTGGCCCCCCTGTTGAGCCGCCTTTGAAAAGTAGAAGTCACTATCAGTTGCTGCCGCTAGCTAGATTAACTAAAATGGTAGACAGAGATGCTGCACGATAAATGGTTTGCTGCAAGGTAAAGATACAGGAACGTCAGAACCAAGTCTGCAGGTAGAGGAACAATTTCCTCTGTTCTGATTTATTCTCAACTAATATGACTCATTTTATAAAGCACACATTGAGATAAAAGGGATTTTGCATCATTCTTTCATAATTTATTGGACCAACGAATGAAAAGGACTGCTTGAGCCCACTATAAAGGCGAACAATAGGAGTGTGAATGCTCTTGCCTCCACAGTAAATTAAGCTCTATATTCCTTTTGACAACAACCCAATCAATTATAATCAACACCAGTCATAATTCTGCTTTTTGTGATGTTTTGATGCCTGTGGCTCAATGGAGAATATGATAATGTGTGGTTTGACCACCTGCTCTGAATTAACATCTTTCTTTTGAAACCATTCAGAGTGAAAATTATTTCTTCAATAAACAAGTACTTTACCTTGACGGATGTTCAAAACTACTATTTCAACATTTTTACCAACTTTAGAGTTTGCATAGTTTGGACAGAATAAAACATGGAGACCTTGAAAATGTTTCTCTCAATGACATTTTATCTCATAGGTACTGAAATAATTATTGTCAAACAAGCTGCCACTGGGAAATAATGTGAAATGAGTGTTAAGATTTTTATGTCTCCAACATAGGTAAACGTTGAACTGAACTCAACTGGCACAATGTATGGAGCTGAAATGATCACAACACAATCAATGTTCACAACACAAGAGTTGCAAAGGACTGCTTTGATGCAATATTTGGTTGGATATTGTCAAGTAGTGGGTCTCTAACTAATGAACATCATGTATATGTAAAGATATAGAAGGAAAAATCAAGAAAAAATATTTTAAATAACGTTATAAATGTCAGATAACATTGTTCTATCTGCTTCTTTTCTTAAGATAGTTCATATGTAACTATACAAAGTGTTTTAGAGATTAGAGAAAGTACTTTACTAAATGTTTTGACTTATCTGTCAAGGCTTCTTCTAGCACAATATCTTCACTCTTTAAACATCATTCCACCCTAAATCTGATGAGATTTCCCTGTCAGGTTTAGCAGACTGAAAAGAAAAAGGACCATGAATCTTTTAGAGCAACATTAATCTGAGACCTGAGCAATTTAATCTTCTCCTTAATTGAATTGGTTTGACCTTATTCTTTTGTAACAAACATGTTTTTTTTTCCTTCTGTTTCTTGTAATAGTCTCATTATAAATAGTTTGAGTGAGAGCAGGACAAAACCAAACCCAAATAAAATAATGACATAACAAAGCATGTTCATGCAGAAAAAAGTGTGTAAATGGGAAACAAATATGCATGTATTTTTATGGATTGCCTGTAGTACAGTATGTGTTGCTGTATTTCACAGCAGAAATGCATCCCAGCAGAAATGCATCCCTTTGTTGAGCTGGTGTGTACATACCTGCCCATAGCAGCACACATATGTGTGAACTATAAAAACACAGCTCACCTCAAACTGCTGTCACCTGTGTGTGTGTCTTTGCTGCAAAGACACACACAGACACACACACAAACTTTCACACCCTGTCTGCAGAATGTGGACTTTTCACTTAAAATCTGCCAAAGTAACACCTTCACTTAGGTGCGGATGTGTTTATTTGTCCTTTAGAAATGAAACTCCTGAGAACTAATCGGTAAAATTGTGTTTTATGCCACACCTGAAGTGTCTTTCAATTCTTCGAACATCTGTTCACATGAACTTTTTTAAAACTTTGTTCTGTTAATGAAGTTCTTAGTTTTTTCTACTGCAATTTGAATTGACAATCCATATTTAAAATGTGTCTATTTTCATCTGGAGAAATTATAATGAATACAGCTTGAAAAAGTATTCAACAGTTGCAGAAAATAAAAAATAAAAATTGTAGTTAAGGTTTGTTTTTCATAAATTTGTAGTGTGTCTTTGACACTTGGGGTAGATCTAAATAATCTTAAACCCTAAGCTAGAAGAAAAGTATGCTTTCTTTTCTGTACATGCAACAGTGTTTTATATTTTTTGGAGTAATTATCAGTTTTTAACAAAAATTCACAGTTTTCCAACTTTACTGAAACCCCAGTCTGCATTGTTTAGGAAGCTGCAACAGGAACAACCTATGACTAAGGCATTGTTTCTAAATATTCATTTTTCTTTCATAAAGTGGTTTTGTGAGAATTTCCCAAGTGACTTTAGTGTCCCATTTGTATCCAGCAGAGAATGAAGATGCTCTGTAATGTATGGATGCTTCTATTGTGTTCTAGACTTGGAACCATCTGCGATAACAAATATGGGGTTTCTCTGCATTTTAATAAAGGTCGCTTGGCTTATCAGGCCTAGTCATTATTTACAGTTTGCTGTTAATTCAATTTCTTTTCTCTTACTGGATGCACAACAAAGAGGGAGAAAGATGGCAGCCATGGCATCCAACATTGCCAGTTTTTATAAGAATGGCTGCCAGAAGCTTTTAAGTTGGTGTAATTAACGTCCAGTTATACTAGCAAAATTTATTGCATGGTGAAAAATGTGGAGCTGACGGTGCAAGCTGCCACCATATGTCACTCATTTGTAATGCTCTACTTTGTAGTTACTACAATAACAAAATAGGAACACAGTGCCTCGCAAAAAATATTTGTACTCCTTGAACTTTGCCCCAGTTTGTCACATTATAACCAGAAACATTAATGAGTTTAATAAATGGCACATATTTCAAATGTTGTGTGAGAGCCCTGCATTTGTTTTTACACCCCTGTTCTCTGATTCTGCTCAATAAATCCCATATATTTTGTCTTCAGATGATATCAAATTAGTACATAGTCTCTACCTGTGTGTGATTTAACTTCATTACACATGCAGCTGTTCTGTTCAGGCCTCAGGAGCTTGTTAGGGAATCAAAAGCATCAAAAGACCAATAAACACAGCAAACTGGTGTTGAAAGTCGCTGACATTAACCAGTGTTAGGTTAATAAAGCAATAACGAATGCTTAAACACCAGTCTAAACTGAAGGAATGTGAGCATTAATGAGAAAGCCCAGGGTAACTCTGTAGAATATGCAGGGACTGAGTGCTCAAGTTGCAAACTAAGTCCAGAAATGTTAGCGCCACTGGCTCTGAGATTCACTTTCCAGCAGGACACCGACCCAAAACATACAATGGAACAGTTTAAATTAAAGTATGCTCATGTGCTAGAATGACCTAGTCAAAGTCCAGACTTAAACCCAGGTGAGAATCTACAGAGAGACTCAAAAAACAATGTTCAAAGATGCTATTCAACTGAGCTCCAGCTAATTCGCAAAGCAGAATTAACAAAAAAAATTTTAAAAAAGTAAAAACTGGTAGAAATAAACATCAATGACTTGGGATTTGGGGTGGAAACCTGGTTCTACACAATGTGACTCAGGGGGATTGAATACAACACATGCCAGTTTGTCTCGTTCTGTCCAAAAAGGTACCAATAAAAGACACTGAGGTTTGTGGTTGTAACACAACATAATGAGAAAAAGTTCAAGGGACATACACCCTTTTGTGGGCACTGTAACTGAGCAATGAACAGAAAACCTGCAACCCGGTATGTTTCATCCATGGGAGCACACAGAGGTTAATGTGGAAATGTGGAATACAAGAAGAAAGTAAACATGAAACCATGATTCCTTTGGGCAGTTTCTCGGTTTGCATAATTTGAAGAAAAATTGCACCCAGACCATTTAACATCTGCTAAAAAAAGTTATCATCACCTACCATAGACCAGGACCGTGGCAGAGTTGCTTTTGCGGCGAGCGACGATGTTTTTGGCCACACACGTGTAGTTGCCCGTGTCCAAAAGGCGGGCTTTTTTGATGACAAGATTGTTGTCAGGTGTGATGAAAAAATTGGGGTCGCTCAATGGGTCGAGCACATCCTCATTCCTCTGCCACTCCACCTGAAAAACATATTTCTACGGTCAGAACTCGGCTCAAACCAACAGAAACGTGCTCTGCGGTGAGCAGATATCATGCAGAGGACAGTCTACGACATGCAAAACAAGGACGTGAAGACCGGTTTGGTGCTGGGAACAAACTTTACTCATACAGCCAACTGATTGGAAAATGTATTACTTTATACTGCGAAGAGAGCCGCTTTTATTTTGCAGCTGTTGGAGGTCTGTGAGCAAAGCCAATCATGCTCTGCAGTGCCTTCGCTCCTCTTTCAGAAGACAAAATTGAAGTTATTCCCGTCCTGGTGTATTCACGGACAGGCTCGCTTGTTTTGCTGCTCTCACTTGACCCTGTGCCGTCTCCAGAGAAGCGATGGTATGGCAGCATTGTTGCTGGTATTACTGCCAGTTGCGATACGCCGTATAATTGGGCTTTCTTCCTCTTGCGCGCGCTATGTCTGCTTTCTCCCGCGGTGACTTCTGCTCTGATGTTCTTTTCTGTTGAACCGCGGTTGGCACCTTCCTTCCCATTTCTCTCCAAACAGTCCCTGCACTGTTGAGCTGTGATTGGCTTGTCTGCCGGCTCTCGTCTCTGGGCTGTCTGAGCTAGCAGCCGAAGCTCCTGTTGTGTTGTTATTAGAGCAGTTAGTGCCTATCTGGGACCGGGGAGGATGCAGCACATGAGGTGAAACAGCTGGCACCACTCTGGCCCTCTAAACACACACCGGCAAAATATGAGAGGGGAGAGAAAGCGATGCAAGCAGAACAAGAGAGGAGAGAGACAGAACGAGATAAGGAGAGAGTGAGACAAATAGAGCCATTCATTATGGACGGGCCTTTAGAGATGCCAAATGGGGAGTGAAGCCTCCGAGCCTATCCTGAGTGATGTGGCGAGATGATGTGATATATGGCTTCTCAGAGATGCGGAAGAGATCATAAATCAATAACAGGGAATAATTAGAGGTGTAATTTATCCATACAGAGATGGTTGCTCCTTCGGAGATGCAGCAAAGTCACTTTTTGCTCTTTGTGCCCCCCCCAACTCCCCCACCTGCCTTCTCGGAGAGGAAAGAGTAAAACGATGCTAGATGTGAGCCTATAAATATCTTCTGTATCTGTGTCTCTCTCACCTCGGCTGGTGGCACTCCCTCGGGGGGATGGCAGTGCAGTAACACCTCCTGGTCCAATGCCACCTCTTTACCCTGCGGCTCCTCCTCAAAGTTCTTTCTCAGGTCTTGCACAAAGAAAGACGAGGAGAGGAAACACAACCAATTAGGATGTTTGTAAGAGTTCATGACATTTGAAAGAAATCCTTTAAAAAAAAACCAAACTGGGTCTGGTGATGTTTTTTAAATTCCAGCCCCTGAAATGTTCAACCGTGGTCTCGTGTCGCACTCCAGTTGGCCTCTAAGCCACAGTGGAATCAGTGGCACCAACCATGTTGCTTATTACAGGCTGCCTGGCTGGTTCAGAGATGTTTGTCTGCTGCCAGAGGGACCTGCGCTGAAAAGCAATTGCATTACCCCTTCCTCCCACCCAGCCTCTTCCCTCACCAGAGGCAGCCTCCGGCAGCCTCTGGCCCCCATCTGTGTGACGGCTTGGAGCAGCCGCACGAAAACAATGCCCCAAGGCGACTGGACAAGAGCTCCTGCAAAGCCCGCCCGGCTGCGTGGGGGCTTCACTTTATGTCTCATTGAGCAATCTTACAGTTGCATCAAGCCCTGCAATATATTTGTCTGTAAAGCCCAGCTGTGAATTGCACAGGTAGAAGTGGCCCAGCTTTTTCGTCTTGCAGGAGGCGGGAGAAGGAATAAACGCAGGTCTGTTTGGACCGGATGAGACAGGCAGGCTGCCGATAGCTGGCGGCTCGGTGCAAATTTGATGTGTTCAACCCTGTGTTTTGACTCAGAGCAAAGCAATGTGTTATCGTGTTGCGAGGGGCTGAGGGTGAATTCCTTTAAACGGGATGTTCAGCCTGTCCTGACCGATCACACTGGAGGAAACGTTGAGACAAGCGGAGAGTTTCATGACATTTAATTTAATTAAAGCAGATAAAATGGGACTGGAGGACACTCGAGATGTAACAGCTCTAGAAAGCTCTAAAGTATGTGAGTGTAAGTGGGTGCGGATAAATATTGGAAATGTGTCCTGATGCATGGCTATTAAGGCATGTGTATGTCCTTATCTTACATCTATCTGACTTTGTTAAGATCCCCAACAACGGTAGATAATGAATGTGTGTTTTCAAAAAAGCTTTCTAGTTTGGAGACTGCGCTGCATTTGCTTGTGTCTGGAATAATACATATTTATGTGGGAATTAATAGGCAGAATGCTGTAAAATGCTCAAATGTAAAATGGCTCCTTCTAATAAAGCTTTTGAGGCGGCGGCGAGGGATGCGCCTGTGTTCCCCAGGCAGATTTATGATTGCTGCACAGCAATAAATTTCAATTCTGTTTTTATTCAAGTTACTTTCACAGGGATCATTGCTGATATACTGTAGCTCGTGAGAAATATGCTCATGAATACTTAAATTTAGTGTTCCACTTTCCCCCTTTACGCCCCTTTCTTGCCTGTCTCTCTGTAGTGTTCAGAAATGTTCATTCAATAATCAGAAACATTATTTAGGGCGCCTTGCAAACATACGCTTAGACCCCTTGAAATTATTACATAATACTGAGGTTGAACTGCGACAGACTGGCGACCTGTCAGGGTGATCCCCGCCTCTCGCCCGGAACGCAGCTGGAGATAGGCACCAGCACCTCCCGACCCCGTTAGGGAGAAGGGTGCTCAGAAAATGGATGGATGGATGGACTGAGGTTGAAAAAAATATTAATTGTTTTCTTTTTTTTTTCTTTGCATATTTTTTGGCCTTCTTGTACTCCTAAATATAACTCAATGCAATTAGTTTTCTCTCAAGAACATCATTAAGAATGCAGCAGATGAGTCATTTTGACATTTAAAAATCTGTTCTAAATAAATATGTCCAGCACTAAAGAAATATCTAAACTAGAACCTAAACTGGCAGGGGATGCAGAGCATCAATCAGTCATATGCCTTAAATCTGGTCCATATGAAAAAAAAATATTTAAGGAAAGCCATGAGAAGTTTTCTCTTCAGTTTCACACAAATCATTTAGAGGATACATCAAACATGTGAAAGACTTGGTTAAATAAGATCAACTATTTTAGCCACACTGTAATGTGTAGCAGAAAATTAAAACCAAACATAACCCTAAAAATGCCATCTGCAGTCGATGGAAAATGGATGGGATGAGAACAGGGCCATCCAGGCGGTTCGACGCTGTAAAATAGTTGAAACTGGGGTGGAGGTTAGTCTCCTATAGCAGCTATATGATCCTGAACAAACATCCAAAGTTACAGTGGAAAGTTTTGATGAAAACATCCTGGTCGTCCAGAAGGACAAAGTCAAAGTCAGATCTAAATTCATTGTTTCTACATTACTATATGTATAGTAAAATGTTTTCATGTGCTTTGTAAATACGCTGAATTGAACTAAATAGGATGTGCAGAAAGTCACCTGCCCTGTTATCTTGAATCCCAATAGAATACGTTTTAAATTGAGGCTAAAATACAAAAAAGTGAGTATTAATACTTTTACAAGGGCATGATAGCTGAATTTGAACAACTCTATGATAGAGATCACAATGATTTTTTGAACTAATTGTTAAATAAGAGTCAGTCCATGTCTTTCCCTGTTCTGATCCATGCAAAAGTGAGCACCTTGTTAAGAAATCCATGCATTCGTAATGACAGTGAGATCATTTTAAGTGCACTCACAAGCAATCCTGATGTACGCTTTCTGGCTCTTCTGAGTTCCAGTGGTGCTCCAGGCGACACACTGACACCAGTATTCATCGAGGCCGAAGATCTTCTCCACCTGCTGCCTGGTAATCTCAATCGTCACCTGCATGACTGGCAATGCTGCAAAGCAGGGACAGACATGACAGAATCATGAACGCGCGAATCACCCACATCAGCTTGTCTGAGTGCAGCAAAAAGTCAAACGCCTGCGTTTTGTACGTTGAGTAGTTAGAGAGTAAAGCCAGGCAAAATAAACAAGCAGACAAGCATAATCCTATATAAACAGAGAGCTTGTTAACTGAGGAAAATGAGACAACAGCCTCACAGTTACCCCGCTGTAAATTTGGAGGGTGTTAAAATGGCAACAGTTGGAAAGGAACACCATAGCGCTAAACAAACGCTAGAAACAAAAATATCCAGCGTCGCCTGCTTCCCTATCATCAAATCTAAGAGGGGAGGAAAAGTTCAATTTGTGGAGCATTTCTACAACAGTGCCAAAATAAGAGATGCAGCTGTAACACAAGGTAAAAATAGCTTTATTGCTTTTCTGCCAGAACGGACTGACACGTCTTCTCTAAATACAGCAAAATTGGGACAAAAAACCATCCTGCCAAACTGTCAAAACACTGTAGCGTTGTCACAAGCTTATCTGAGTTAAGAAATCTTTCATTTCATTTTCGTCCGCTGTTATATTTGGGACCTGCAGAGTGAGCTGCGACCTTGCCCCCCTCCTAGCACCCATGTCTCTTTACCACGATAGAATAAGAGGAGATTGCAATGTTTTTCTTGAGCTTTCCGCTTTCGCTCCGTCTTATATTTTCTGTTTGGGAAACAGTCGTTCATCTGACAGTTGCAATGGAAACCGGAGGCCGACCGAAGGGAATGACTCAGACAATTACATTCAGATTCATTGGGGGACTTCTCTTTGATGGCCATTTGCATAAAAGCACTTTGAGACTCCTCCACACCCCTCACACTCCTGGTGTGTCTGAACTGATCATTTGTTGCTCCCATCTGATGCGGGAGGAAGTGTCACCTGCCACAATAACAAACATATATGTTCAGCCCTTTTAAAATTTGCAACACAGCAAAAAAAATAAAATAAAAATAATAATAATAATAATATGGTGACTTTTGGTTTCTGTTGCAGAAAAAGCAGTGGCTTTGTTGCTGGCAGCCACACTCAGTGATAAGTAGCTGTGAGGGTCACTGGCAGACGGCCATGTATTAGTATCTAAGTGCAGTAGATTTTTCTATATGTGATCACAGTAAAAGTGACTACATGTGCTGTGAATCCAGCCCTGAAGCACCACTAGGAGCATCCACAACAACCCATGCTGTCCGTCGGATTTGTTGTTCACCAACAAAAGCTAATTTGACAAACAGAATGAAGGGTTATTTTTGCATGTTTATTTGTTTTCTTAATGCTGCCGATAAGTGTCAGAAATGTATTTAAAAAAATAAAAAATAAAAAAAAAACAAATGCATTATTTAGAGCATCCATTTTCTCTCTTTTTGACTGTTTTAAGTCGAGCTTTTTGGAGGAGAGTGTTTGTGTGCTGACATGAGTCTACAGCCAGAGAGTTTGACACAGGCTGAGAGAGCACCTAAAAGCTAAAACAAATGGCTAAAGTAACAAATTGGGCACTACAGAGAATGAACAAATGGAGCAGAAGAAAGCCAGCTTTCGCTTTTCTGCAAATCAGCACCACACCTGCATCCAACTTTCCATTTAAAATATAAAAACTACTTTTATGTTTGCCACGTGATAATTCCTAATCATTTAGAAAATTATACATAATAGAAATGAATCTGAAAATCTTGAAATCAGATCAAACGTTAGTAGAAAACCGAGTCATTGCCCAGCTTTTTAAAAATTCCCAACCTGAGTGGAAAATGAATGAGCTTTTTTGCTCCAAATACAATATCTGCCATTATGAATTAGTTATTGACGCGACTCATAAACTTCTTACATGACATAAGTAGAAAAAAGAAAACTGCTGATGTAAAGCAAGGCCTTAAATCTACATTTCAAATGAACTTCTTAGAAATCCTGTCAGCCTTGGATGTTAAGTAGAGAAAAACATCTGATGGCTCTGATTTATACTGAGCTCTCACCAGCTTATGTGTGCAAAACACAGAGCCATACCTGAATACATACATTTCAAATTTGGCCCTGACTGCCATTCTGAGCTTACCGTTGTTCTGCATATAGTATTTGATTAATGCAAACCTTCTTATTCAGTCCGAGCTGGAGGGCAAAAGGACCACAGATCCGTACAGAGATGGATAGCAAGAACAATAGCAAGCTGAGGTGAGAAATCCTAAGAAGAGCAATTTGAAGCTCTGCTTGCCAGGCTAATTGCATTCTGTTTCCTTATCTCTTCCTTTCTCTATAATTACCTGCTTTCTGTGTCTGACACCTTCTAGTAACACCCCTCTGAGTCACTCTGTCCAATTTCACTCCGATTAATAAGAGGGACAAAACAATCTCATCACTTTTAGAAAAAAGATTCATATTTTAGCCACTTAATAACAATTGGGTGGGGCATATTTTATGTATCTTTTTGTTTTTAAAAGTTTACCTCTTTTGAAGGTGAATAATGCAAACTTTTCTATCAATATTGAAAGAAGGCCAGCACAGAAACTACTTATTTACAAAAAAATAAAAATAAAAAATATCCTCACAATTATGGTTAATACAAACTTATAATAATCTGCAAGGCTGCCTCAGATGTTTTAGTGTTTAAAAAAAGGGAAGAGAAATCTTACACGTTTTCTCCTGCACTTTACTTTCTTGTTAAATGATAATTAAAACATGACATGATTACCTCAACCTTCAGTTTGATCTGCCGCCCATTTATAAATGAGCTCAAATCCCAAACCTCAGTAAAATTACAGTGAAAAATTTAAAGGGTGATTATGTGATTGACACCGCAGGAATCCTGGGCTTACAGCTGGAACCCCGGTGAGTTAATTTTTATTGGAGCGCAAGGGGCAACTTAGGGAGTTGCGCTCAGCCAGGATATGTTTGCCTTTGTAGCGCTGCGAGAAAATTTAGAAGAGGCTGACAAACAGGAAACAAAACAGCTTGAATCCAATATCTAAAGTATTAGAATGAGCTTCTCTGGCAATGTCCTCACAGACTGAAATTTCCTGGTTTGATTAAAACATTGTTGTGTCACTTGGTCGAACAGCGGAAAATGGAGATGATGAAAATGCTAAAATCAGCAAGAACTACATAGTATACTAACTTTCAGTCATCTGAATATGAATACAAGTGCTTGGATCCGATATTTGGTAAAATATTTTGTATTTCTGCTTCAAATACAAACTATTAAAAGTCTTAAAACTATCTTTGGCCAATTTGATAAACTTTCACTGGACTTTAATGATATAATGTGGTGCAGATTGTAGTTAAATAGACGCATTATTCATGGTGAGCAGTGGAGATATGATGATGATGTGAAAGAAAGTTTGAAAAGCATGGATTAATGGTAATAAATATTGGCACTGCAATTTTCCAAACTGGTTTGTAACTGAATGTTTTCCTACTAAGGTGCAATCCAAAAGTTATAGTTTACATTTAATGAGGGTAAAGTTTGAAGTTGTACCACGATTCTAAAAGGTCACAGTTTTAAATCTACTAAAATTTATCGCCAAACTAGTCTCTCAGGTTTGTCTTTTTTTTATTACGATAAAAGAAACTATATAGTTTCCTCCAGTCCTATATGTACAACTTCTTAGGGAAGGACCTACTGAATTTTCTTCTTCTATTATCTTCTGATATTTTGTTTGAAAAAAGACAAAGTATAGTAGGATATTTAATCACTTTCAGGTGATGAAATATTAGTAAGAAGCTGATGTGTCTATCTCTGTAATAAATAATAATAATAATAATAATAATAATAATAATAATAATAAACACTAGTGGATGGACGGCTAATATCAACTTGTTAGATTCCAAATAATATTTTATAAAAACCACAACAAGTAAAAAGACATAATCATCTGACACATTATCAAAAATCTTCAGAGATATGTTGTATGTTGTTAAGCTGTTTGTTTGTTCTGGCAAATTGAAATCAAGAACATTTAAGATTTCTAAGCTATAATATCAGACCAGCCATGCTTACCTATGGTTAAAAATAAGCTTTGAAATGGTTTTCCATTAGTACTACAGCATATTAACAGTATATGTTTGTTTCCCACTGTTAACGAGCTTTAAATGCTACCGAAATGACATTTTTCTCAAGAATAAATGCTTTATAAATGTCTGAGTTTGGTTGTAAAACGATGTTTTTTTGTCAACAAAGAGCATCTACGGACATATTGTTTTCCCTACAAAGCAAGATCTCGTACACTAGAAGTAAAACAGCATATACATCAGAATCTGCTTTAAACTCTGTCTTTATGAGACAGGAATAACAAATAAGAAAAGACTGGATGGGTCATTGACTTATTAGTGTGTTTTATTTTAAATGAGAGCCTAAAATCCACTGATAATCTTTACATTTTCTGTCACTCAAGCCCTCCAAGCAAAGGTTCCCCCTTTGTTCTGTCAGCAACATGGTGTTCTGCAGGCTTGCTTATAATTTCTCCTCCTTAATGACTTTGTCAGCATACTATAAGGACCTAGCATTTTGTGTAGTAAATATGCAAGACACTCATCTCTCAATGTTGCAGCAACTTGTTTTCCTTCACTCACCAAGCGCAGCATGCCATTGTATGCACATACATACAATTCACATTTATTATGAAACCAATGTAAAAATGAGGACCAAAATACAGCTTTCAGTCTCTAAATTACAACCAGAAATATGAATATAAGCAATATGAATGGGGAGAAAGACGTGAACTGACTGTGTTGTTCTTTGTCCTTTATGTGAGCAGGTATTGGCTGTTCATGCTCTGCAGTCACAAACAGCTGATAGTTCATATGACCAGTCAAGAGCAAAATTTCCATCAGAACCGATTCACAACAGGTATTCCCATCTCCCGAACTACATAGCAGCTCTTTTCTGAAAAAGGTAAAAACAAGTGAGGATAAATCTTGCTTGTGTAATGAGTTTTTCCCAACTTCATACCCACAAAGCTATCATATTGTGGCCCTGCAGACA